AACAAAATCTTTCGTTTTTAAATACATAGACCAAATTTGCTCATCTATTATATCTATTATATCGTTTTACTTCTTCTGATATTTTTGATAAATAGTATCATTTTACTTGATTGATTAATGACAAGGACCTTTAATCTTTTGAAAGTTATGTTCCAAATTCTTAATAAATTCTAAATAGAGATTGCCATGACATTACATTGGCAAATAAAAGCTCTCACCTAGCTGTAGTAAAGATTGAACTTCGATTAGAATAGTGTTAAGGTTTATAAACCAATTGCTTTTGGTCTTAGTAATGTTATATTCAAAATTCTAGTATCCGTCGTCGTACATTTACACTTATATGTCGGAAAGTTTTTTATCTATTGATTTTTGGAAAGTAAACTCTTTATTTATCACCCTTTCATTATCAAATTGTGATTTGTTGAAATTATTGAGTACTCCCAATAGTAATTTACATTTTACATTAATATTATTGTTATCGTTATTGCGTCTCGAGACCAACCATTCCAGTTTTGTGTTCAATCTGTTGCATTTGCATATGGCTAGCCTATTTAAAGATAATTGTTGTGTGCCAAAGAATCTATTGCATATGTACACTGGAATTTATTTTTTTTTAAAGATTGCAAATACATCATTTGATATCAAAATGTATATATATATATATGTACATACGTATCTATACATTCAACGAAATTTATATCAATAAATTATATTATGTATCAATAGTCACTAAAAATTAAGACTTATTACAAGCGGATTTACTATCTTAGAAGAATTTCATGTATTTGAATTCTTTATAGCTTGCTAAAAGATAAGATATTGAAATTTAAAAAAATACATTTTATATAGTGGAACAATACATTCATGATTTCTGGTCACAATTTCAAAACAATGTTAACATTTTTTATAAACAAAAAGTATTAAATAACACAGAAAAGCCATTTTTTGCACATTAAACCTCAATTATTTTAAATACTTAATGTGCTAATAAAATTTAACTTGATATTGATTTTCAGCATTTAAAAAATACAATATCTAATTTAAAGTAATAAAAAAAAACATTTTTTTGTAAATTAATGTTATCTTTAAATATTGTTGCTATCTGCGATGTTAAAAAAATATCGTTAAAAAGTATATTAAATTAAATATTCAATTAGTTAATTATTAAAATCAGTAACTTAATTTAACAAATAAATAAATGTTTAGTTTAATTAATTTTGATAAAATAATAATTTAATATGTGAATTTTTACAATAAAATGTTGTGTATAATATTTGACTGAAATTTTAATATATTTGATAAATATCAATCACGTTAAGAGTGGCAAAAGTTTTTTTTTAAAAGTTTTTTAGAATTTCAAATAAAATCGCTTATAGTTATTGAATTAATTAGTAACTTTGACACGTTAAACGTTGCGGTCCATTAAAAAAAAGTGTTTAAATTTAAATCGCTTTGGCGTACATATTTTATTATAATATTTTCGCCTGATGCTTTCGCTTGGAAGCCAACCTATAAAGTTTATTCGTTTGCATTTTTCGTTTCGGCCTATTTCTTGCAAGATATACGCAGTCAGTAGTGATAAATCGTAAACGTCGTGTTCTTCCCCGCCTATCGCCGTCACTATGAAATCCCAAAAGACGATGTCGAGTCTATTCCAACCACCCGGACATTGTAATAGCGAATATCTCATTGTGAGATACAATCCCGCATAAGATGCGATGGTGTCTCGTTAACGTGTAATCCGCCATGAGAAATCGGTTGAATCTTCGGTGTTATGTTCACCTAAATGTAACTCACTTTCCGCATATTACTGTTTTATTAGGAAACAAATAATGTGAAGATGACATAATCAAAAGTATTCTATCGTGATTGTTAAAGAACTCAATAGAAATTATTATTTTTAGTTCTCATTATTCTGTGAATAATTTTATTATTCGAATTTTATTCTTTGATTCAAATTATAAATAATTTTATTTAGATATGAATTAAATTTAAATTTAAATTTGAATTAAATTTTAAAAATTAAAAAATAGATTAATTATAAATGTTAAAAATTATTTAAAAAATCTTAATTTTAATTAATATTTAAATAAATTATAAGTTTTACAATTTTTATATAATTTTAAATTATAAAAGAATAATTATTCGTTGTGATAAGACTTCTAACTGGTGATATTTGTTTACGATATTTGTTTATCTATTTTTTTCACTTTATTACATTAACAATGATAAGGAATAAAATGTAAGCTCTGATTAAAAATATTTAGTTTATACATATAGAATAAGACACAGAACTGTTTTGAGGATTTTGTTGATTGAGAAATAACAATACGCTGCAATTATCACGAAAATTTTCAATTTTCGTTGGCGTAAAATCATTTACGAAAATCTATTGTGCGCTGTTGGTGATGACAAAACAGAATTCATTTATAATTTTAATATGGCACTACATAATGACCAATAGAATTACACGTTCAGCATTTATTAATCCGTCATTATTAATTTAATTGAACAACAAAGCGATTTTATTTTATATAGTACCTTGCACAAGAAATTGAAAATAGGTGTGCTGTATAGAATATTTAGTATAGTTATTTGAAACAGAGCTGAATTTAATTACGTTTAACAGCCAAAATCAATGTTTCACGCACATTCAAATTACTGAAAAATATAAAGCCAAAATAAATATTATAAATGGAAAATATGTGTAAAACTTATGCATACGTATGTATAATTATTAGAGATTTCATCACGCTTTTTTTTTAAAATCATCCGTAATGTCATTCATAATATTAGACATTTAAATATATTATATATTGTTTTTAAAATGAATTAAATTTTAATATGAATTAAAATTATGTTGTTTTTGGTATATTTTAATAAAATTCGGTAGTATCTCTCTCTCTCTCAGACACACACACACACACGCGCACACACACACACACACACACACACACACATACACACACACACGCGCGCGCGCGCGCGAATACAATAATAAAATATTTTCATTAAAAAAATTAAAATAATAAAATATTTTTAGTCAGAAAAACGGGACTGTGAGAGAATAAATTTTATAAACGATTATGTATTATTTATTACATTTGAACTCATTTGTAATGAGACATTCCGAACATTTTTTCGTTTTGCAAGACTTTCCACGGTTGTTATTTTCGCGATTATTTTTTTTTCCAACTTTTGTTCATTGTGCATTTACCACCATTTTTCATACTTTTTTTCTTTATTTTTGTTTGCCTTTTCTTGCTTCCTTTCCTGCCTCTTGTCTTTTTATCTCTTTCTCTGTTTTTATGCTTCCTCGATAACGATAAAAATATTTCTTATTCATGGTCTATCGCGATCTAACTCAACGCTTCTTATACCAAAGATTTTTACGGTGCCAGTCTCACTAAGATTGATGAAACGACATACTATCGATTCGTGAAAATCGATTTTTGAGAAGGATGAACTCTTGTCTACGAAATTTACTCGTTTTTGTCTTCCTTCTTCTTTTTTTTCTCTTTCTACATCTCTTCCTTCAGCTTCTATCGCTTTTGAAGGAAACTACGTCTGCCTTTTCTCGCGGGAAGAATGCACAAAGGCAGACGAACGATGTGGAAGCAAATTAATCAATCATCTTTCCCGAACAAGTTCCATCTTTGCACGGTCTAATAGAGAACAGCGTTGCGACTATTTCCAGAAATCGTAGTTATCGGAAAACAAAAATTTTTGGAAAAAGTCTTTGAAGCAGTAAGGGATTTTTCGTAAGATTTGCAAAAGATGAAGAAAGATAAGAAAGATGATATTTGTTTATACTGCTCATTATTTTCATTTATAGATATATTACACAAGACTACAACAAAATTTTTGAAGAGCAATTCAAATCAGAGTAGATGTTTTGTATAGATTTTGCTCACTGTATTCGAATTCGTGTTTTGCTCTATTACGTTTAATTCCTTAGATAATCAAGAAAAATGAAGGAAACTATAGAAATTGAAACATTTAAGAAAAGTAAAACATTAAAATGTAATCCCACAACTGATTTAAATATATTTTGACACAAGTTTAATAAAGTGTAACAAACAAAAATTTTACTTTACAATTTAAGTATTATAGCCTTATATGTATACGCACCGTATAAATTTATGCTGATAACATTTTATGTCAAACTCTGTGCTTAACTTAATCTAACTTATCTTCCAAAAATAACAATTAAAATATTTTTAGAAAAATCTTCCGTGGCTTATGCAGATCAACTGACTGTTTATTGCACAACGATATTTTATCGATTATCGATTTGTTTTATGAAGTATATGGTGGTTTAGGCCATATGATGGATACCTAACACTAGTAAAAACAAAATTTTTTTATTCCTTACTTTCTCTTATTCAAACTTACCAAAATATATTTAAATTAATTCTACGACTATACATTTTGATGTTATATTTATTTTTGCTCTTTCCTCAAATGTTTTAATTTTGATAGACTTTTCTATTATTTTTCTTGATTATCTAAAAAACTGGACATGGAGCAAAACGGTTTACAAATCGAGATTCAGTATTAGAATCTATAAAAAATACTTATTCTGATTTGAGTTGTTCTCCAAAAATTTTTCTGTGATTATTAGTCAGATTGTTAATCAGAGTTACACATGCGCGCACAATTACAATACACGTTTACATTAGATACTTTTATCGTATTTAAAAGCGATTGTTCGCAATCCACAACAATGCAGCAATATTATACAATTTCAACATTCTATAAATAAACATGAATCTTATAACACAGGATAGTAACTAATCGTTACTCCGCGACAAACGTAAAAACACGCGGGAAACTTTATTATAATCCATGATGAAATGAGATTTTGCGCGAAAAAAGATATTTAATGCGTGGATTTAATCGCAGCGATGCAATACAATTCTCGAAATGTACGATATTACGTGTTGTGCGGGTGTATTAATTTAAAATTCAATTCCCGCTCATGTATCTTCTTATTGCAGGAGACGAGATCCTCTACCGTGACGAGATAGGCAATTTATTGATCTATAATGTCAGCTCGGCTACATCCAAGATCCTGTTGGACTCCAGCAATCCCGTAAGTCTTAAATTTCTGCACGTTGTATATAAAGTTCATGGCGGACTTCGAAGTTAGCATGAAATTTAGAAGCGCTCTCGTTCGAAAATTTCTACTTGTAATGAATCTCAGAATTATTAGTTATTTTATTTGGTCATATTCTGCTTATCTTCTTTTTTCTATCTGTGCTAATAACAGTAATATTGACATAAGTTACAAATGAAACAGTAACGATATTAAAATTTATATTGAATTTACGCTGAAACGTAAACAAAACTTATATTAATTATAGGTATTAATTAAACAAAGAAAACAATATACAATGTTAATTATATACATCAATATATAATTAACATAATAACATGAAATATGAAATACTCAACTGTGTTATCAGAGGTAATCAATTATCGTAGAATGTGTATTCCAATACGAGCCAGTTTAGAAAGAATACGCAAACATTTTTATGCATACGCATGCGTTAACATATGCACAATTATTATCGCATTAACGTGCGTGATTAAATAGAAATTGCTATATGAGTTGATATGAATTAATTGTTCGCCATCGCACCTCACTTTCGAAATCATAGATCGAAATACATTATGAAACGAAAGGACTATATCTCATATATGTTGTCTATTTCGTCTCTTTCTCCATCATTCTCCTAATTTTCTTCCCGCTCTAATTCATATTCCTGTGTAATCAATTAAATCACCCTGGCTACTGCGAACCTTGGTATGAGAGTGCGTGTATGTATACGTACATGTAAAAGCGGAAGCCGCGTGTGCGGATCGAATATGAAAGCAGTGAAACGGGCGAAATCGGAAAGAGGAACTGAAACTATTTCACGATGCAGAGGGGAACGAGAGACATAATGTAATGTGCAATATCGAGCTTGAGTATGCATCGGACAAACGCGTCCATCATTAGTTCTGCGACACTGCATCGCCGCGCCACGCCGCGCTGTCGAAAAGATCGTTGGAACGGTAATTGCTTGTTATCTTTCACGTTCTGACGCATGCAATCTATCGTTGACGATTCTCATTCGTACGCATGTAGATATCCAGCTGGTTACTGTAAAATGATTCATTATGACATCTGTAATACGATTTTTATCTCAGCAAAATTTAACATTGCAAAATGTCTCATCAGAGGAAAGTCTAAATGATGTATTTACGAACCGTATCGTTATATAAAATTATTTGTCATACACTTGTGATATATTGCAACTATTAGGTGTACAACTTTGCTTCCGCCGTTTTCCTATAGATGGCTTTAGCGGTAAGTGGTGGTCGAAATAAATAGATCATAGACGTCATACAATAAACTTGGGCATCTGTCAAAATAACCCCATAGAAACATTAGTCGATTTATGTCTGCATCATAAAGTTAGTTCTCGATTGAAAATGTCAGTTTACGAGCCAAATTCTCCTCATTTGCGGGAGGTTTTAATTTTTTGCTTCAATATGAAGAAATCTGCGGCTGAGGCTCATCGAATGCTCTCAAATACTTATGGTAAGACTGCTATTAGTGAAAGAACGTGTCATGAGTGGTTTCAACGCTTCAAGAACGATGATTTTGACGTCCAAGGTCATGCTCTGTATTTGGTGGGACCAGCTCGGCGTAGTGTATTATGAATTGTTAAAACCTGAACTGTTAAAAACTGAAACAATCACAGGCGATCGGTATCAAACGCAATTGATGCGTTTGAACCGAGCATTGAAAGACAAACAGCCGCAATACAACGAGAGACACGATAAAGTGCTTTTGCAACATGACAATGCTTGACCCCATGTTGCGAAAGTGGTCAAGACATACTTGGAAACGTTGAAATGGGAAGTCCTACCCCACCCGCCGTATTGCTCCCTCTGACTATCACTTGTTTCGATCAATGGCACACGGCCTGGCTGACCAGCACTTCCGGTCTTATGAAGAAGTAAAAAATTGGATCGATTCGTGGATAGCCTCAAAAGATGACCAGTTTTTTCGACGCGGGATTCGTACGCTACGCGAAAGATGGGAGAAAGTAGCGATGGACAATACTTTGAATCATAAATGTATAACCAGTTTTTTACAATAAAACCTCGAATTTCGGAAAAAAAACGGCGGAAGCAAAATTGTACACCTAATATATTATTGAAATCTACTTGAATTCAATATTATACTGTTTGTTTATTGAAAATTTAGTAATAAATATTATACGATAGTAAATGTTTCTTTAACAATTTCAAATTTAAAAAAAAGCAATTTTATGGGTAAAAAGAACGGTTTTGCTAAAATATTCAAAGATTTATTCTAAATATAGATCTGTAATAAATAATATTGTCGGACATCAAAAGTAATTATATAGAACACTTAAGTGTTAATGACAATGCTGGGGCGATTACGATAACTTGGCTTCTCAAAATAAAAGTTACTTTTGAAAGCATTTTTAGAAAAGAACATGAGCAAAAAAATTCTATAATTAATATTTGATTTGATAATCATATTTCAATTTTATGATCAATTTGATAATAACTTTTCAATAAATGATTGTCGATTAAAATGTTCTGGAGATTATTTAAGACATTGACTTTTACAAGATGTATTAAGATATATCTCTCACCTCACCTCGTCCCTGCTACAGGGCGCGCGACTTTCACATGAAGCGATTCTTTTGGTTTGTAATTGTTAATTATTTTAATATCTGTTGGTTAGAGAATTTTTTTATTAGTTTTTTCGTATTTCTCGCTAAAAATCACTTTCATTTTGAGGGATTACAGTTATTGTGAACGTGTCATAATATACAAAAAATATTCTAGCAATCAGTTTGAGTGTCTTGTAAAAATATTTTGATTTATTTTGGTTTATTTAGGGTGTCCCGAATTTAAATGGCCAAATTTTGGGAAATTGATAAAGTAAGAAAAAAAAATTTTTTAGGAATCGTTTTTTCCTTGTTTTGGAGAAAATCGCAAAAAAAGACAAAATGTAATTTTCGGAATATTATTGTTATCAAAGTGAAATATTATTGTTTTTATGCACGATTTGAATGATAATGTTTTAAAGACAGTATGAAAGTACGCGCCCCGATTTCCAGACAGAAGAGTGTCGGATCGGCGAATCATTACGTTGATCAAATCAGTGTTTGGCTGCAACACGAAGTATCCGTATAAGATGCAACGCGTGCATTACTGCAAGAGGCCAACATTTTGAACAATATTTGCATTAAGCAAATGATAACGTAAATAAATAAGTGTAAATGAACAATAATAATTTATTTATTATTGTTCATTCTCACTTATTTATTAAGCCCAATTTATTAAGCCTGTATACGTGAATACACAATAAGTAAGAATTTAATACCTATTATTATGGTCGAAGCCTTAGACGCTTTTAAATAATCTTTATATAAATTTATATATTAAACATGTAGCCATTTGAACGTGCTGAAATGATTTTCAGACGCAGTTATAAACGCAATTAAACTACTATAATAATATCGCAAATTAAATTGATAAGCAATTTAATAATTTGCTCAATCTGGCATTCAATTAGAAAGATGTTAATGTACTGAAAATCTGTAATATTTTTTACAATAAATTTATTTATAGTTTTTCAGCACATTAACATCTTTCAAATAGGATATCAGATTGAGCATCAAATTAAAATTGCTTATCAATTTAATTTGCGATATTATTAGTAGTTTGTGTTAATTTATAAGTTTGAAAATCATTTTAGCGTACAGTTCAAATGATTACATATTTAGTATATAAATTCACATAGAGATTATTTAAAAGCATCTAAGACTCAGCTTCGACCGTAATTAAGGCATTAAACTCTTCATAAATAAGAAATAAATATATGAATGAATAAATAATCTCTGAATGAATAAGTAATAAATATATAAGTACAAAAATGAAAATTACTATTTGTCTCTTTTTACGATTTTTTTTTCAAAACGAAATAAAAACGACTATATATCTAAAGATCTTCTTTTTTTAGTTTATGGATCCCTTATACATTATCGAAGTTTGACCATTTAAATTTGCGAGACTTTATATAAAATTATTTTCAAATCTATAGTTAAATTTTTTAATGCTTTAATAAAACCATTCGTTTCTTTTATATTTATAAGACAAAAAAAATTGTTGGAGTTATATTATTTTTTATTACTTTCTTGCGTTGTAATAATAATAATAATATCGTAGAGCGATTATATTGAATATTTTTATTTAAGCAATGGATATGTCTGATAAAGAAATAATCTATTTTATTCCATTCTATTTTTCTTCAACTTTCATAAATAACGGATAAACGATTTCTTCATGTTTTCCGAATAAAATCTCATCAGGTGTTGTCGCCGTAATCAGTAAGAAAGAAATAAGCTGATTCTTTCAATTAAGCAAGTGGCAGGGGGAAGCACTAAAGAGAAATAACAACGGCTAATCAGTGTGACATTTTTAAATTTTATTTTTATCATCGAATTTGCCATTCTTTCTTACTCTCTCGAGTTAAATGAAGTCTTCCGCATTTCCTGCATTATTCGAAATCTTACGGGACTGTTTTCGCGTAAGTCCTTTTTGCAATGCCGATGGAGAGTAGTCTTATCGAAGTTATATTCCTTGTTAGCCTGGAAGCTTATGACCTGAAAGCTTAGGAAGTTTATGACCCGTGTACTTTCACTTCCGTATATATGTACACACACACACACACACACACACACACACACACACACACACACACACACACACACACACACACACACCCACACCCACCCACCTACACACCCACACACACACACACACCCACACCCACCCACCTACACACCCACACACACACACACACACACACACACCCATACACACACACACACACACACACACACACACACTTCAAGGACGGTCTTTGAGTGAGTACATTTGGACAATTGCATTTAGCGAGCCTATTCTCTGTTTCAATGCAGGTGCATTCCAAATGAATTCTATATATAGGAGGTTCAAATGCAATTATCCAAATGTATTTAATCAAAGATTGCCTTTGAG